GTCCACATTGGGTCTACAAGTAAATCCACGGGATTCTCATATATTTTTATCTGTTGGTACCTGGCAAGACAAAAAAACAATGTTTATCATCCTGCCAATGGAAGAAGCTTTCTAAAACATCAGATGGTGCTTGAGGATCCAGTCTGAGTTGGTCACCGGGACCAGAGGTTTATTCTTCTAAGCTTTTGGACTCATGCTGGAGCCCATCCTCAGGGAACTGCTCTCTCTTCACAATCTGTACACTGGGCTGTCCTGCACATTGTATACATGTGATGCCTGGTTGTGTGTGACTTTTAGTTGTTAAGTGGGGTGTTGATGGCCGGCCATTAAGTCAGTGATTGTTCTTTCCTTGCGTTGCCCTGTCCTCAGCTCCTAAGTACCTGGTAAGCTGGTGATTGACTGGCAAGGGCCCTGTTTCCCAGGCTTCAATCATTTATCTGCTTAGCTATTGTTTTAATAACCTGTGGAATAAGAACAGGAAGCTGGACGATCTATACTTTATAAAAGAAAGCCTAAACCTTTAAAACCAAAAAAGAGGCTAAAATAGAGGAAAACAGAACAAGTCCGCCATCTACTGGCCCTTACTGGCAGAGAAAGATAGTAAGAGGTGAAAGTGGCTGACCTTGAACATGAAGTGTGGTTTGGAGTAGAAGCTGTAAATAATAATTAACTTTGGTACCTGCAAATTGTTCAGTCTGGAAAGTTGGAACAGAGAATGGAAATAGTATGATTGGGTAAAGCTAACAGCTTTCTGGCTTTAACAGATAAAAAACAATCAAGCAGGCTGAAGCTGAGAAACAAGAGGAATTTCAGTTTGAATAGAAGAATTCCCTTGCCAGACTTTGATGGATTATAAATAATTTTGATGGATTACAAGTAATTTTTGAAGGGATATTTGGTAAAGTGGAAAAGAAGAAGAGACTAGAACGGCTATAGAAAAACTCTTGGATTATTTTGTAAAAATTGTTGGGGATACAGCTGGGCCTTTATAGATTACAAATAAATTTTGATATAATATTCGTCAAAAAGGAAGAGAAGAAAAGTTGGAAGATGGTTCATGAAGGACACTTTGGTCTATTTTACAAAAGATATTTAGAGACATAGTTAGGACCTTGTGGACTACAAATAACTTTATATAATATTTCTACATAATATTATCATAAAGAAGAAGAGAAGAAGGGTGTATAACTATATTTAATACAACTTTTGGATTAATATACTATAGGTTCTCTGGACACAGGCTGTAATAAGAGTGAAAAAGGGATCTGGTAGTGAGACTGTGGACATAAGGAATTTATTGAATATTGAATTTATTGAAGCTGGGAGACAATTGGATGGGAGACTGTGGAACAGCTGGGAGTGTGTTGTGAAACTGTTGCTTATTCCATTTGTTAATATTTAAAAATGAAAAAAACTATATCAGCCCCCTCCTCAACAGCAGCAGCAGCAGCTTCGAGCATGGCCAGTCAAAGATCTTTGGATAATATGTTGCAACAGGAAAGAATAAACGCGATGCAAGCGGAAACAGAAATGATGTTTTAATCGATTCAGGAATCAATAACCAAACTACATGAAGAGATGAAGGAAAGAATACAAAAAGTGGATGACAAAGTAGAAAATATTCAACAAATAATGACCAAAAATGAAGAAAGAATTAAGAAGATAGAAAAAAAAAGACCAAACTGAGAAAAAGGTGGAAGAAATGGACCAGAGACTGACCCAGGCAGATAAGAGCCTTGAGGGAACAGTAATTTCCTTAGAAATGGAGAAGGCTGAATACTTCTTAAGATTTCAAAATATAGAAGAAGAGAAAGGGGAAGATCTTGCTGATAAAATGGGAGGGTTGCTGGCAGAAGTGTTGGAGGTGAACAAACAGAAGGCATTATCTGAGATGGATGAAATTTTTCGAGTTCACACAAGTTATGCAAGAAGGAACAAACTCCCCAGAGAAGTTCATGTTAGATTTTTGAAGAAGACGATTAGAATGGGAGTACTTCAAAGAGTAAAAGGAGGACTTCCGGTTTCGGAACGCAGCAACACCGGTTGCGCCTGGAAACTTCTCTCCAGGCCGTCCGGAGTTTCCTTCGCCGGTAGACCCCCTAGCGAGTCGAAAGTCGCCCTGGAGGGGCGACCACCGAGGAGGAGGCTTGCTGGTAGATAAGGGAGGGCGGCAGCTTCTCCCGAGTCTCCAGCTTCTCCTTAGGGCCGACGGAGCAAAGATCGGCCTGTAAGATGGCCGATCACCCTGCTGCACCAGCCGAAAGTCACATCGTCATCTAAGCGTTAACGACCCACTGCGGATGAGCCGGGTGAGACCCCTTTTGTTCCTCTCCACACCCCTGCTGTTTTTGCCTGTAGAAGCTGTTTGTGCTATTGTTTCCCCGTCTGGAGAAAGCGGCTTTGGTAATTGTGGGAACAAACGCGTTTTATAAAAGGACAGAAAAAAATAAATATTCATTTAAAGACTATATTCTATCTCTACTTACATTGAGCTACAGAAAAAACTGTTTTTTGTGTTTTTTGGAGCGGTATTAGATCGGCAGAGTATTTCTTTTTCTATTCTTCCTTTAAAAGATGGAAAAAAAGAAAAAAATGGCGTCTGAAGAAGTCTTCTTATCTCACTGAGGACACCTACTGGTCAAAAGTTAATATTGGATTGTTTATTTGGAGATGAGAGAGCTTTGGCCTTCAAACTGTTTTTCAAGAAAAAAGATAATTTGAGCTAGCTGTGTGATCTGTGGGGGTGGACAATGTTCAATTGTAACCTTCACTAAAAAGGAAAAGGATTTTTTCTTCAACTATTGCTAAAATGAAGAAGCCTCAATCATATTTAAACTGTAAACTTATACTGGAAAAGATCTATGAGGCTAAAGAAGAAATATGTACTACAATAAAAGAGGCTACTACAGAACTAAGAGCCAGAATCTCTACTTTAAAACTTAAAACTGACTCCCAGATTACACTTGACTACTCTACAAAACAGATTATACAAGAAGAGGTTTTAACTGAGGATAAGGAGAATCTTATTTTGCCTTACAAGCAAGACCAGGAAAAGCAAAGACTGAACTTTGGACTTCTGAAGCAACGAGGCTTTATGGACAAGAGAAACAGAGGATTAAATCAGAGATCAAGATGATCTGTATCGAATCAAGTGACACTACAAGCAACAAAAAGAGACCTATTATCTGGAAGGGAAGCTCTGTTATGGAAACCTACCTGGCAAAAGAGAAAAGCTAGAATAAGATTGAAAAATGAAATTTAAAATTTCTTAAATTGGATTAAAGGCAACCTAGAACTATGGACTGATGTAAGGACTGAGATTTTGAGTCTGAAGCAAAAAGATGTCTTAGAGTTGGAGTGAATCAATAATTAATTGAATGTTAATTAAATAAGATGACCTGTTTGTCCTATAACATGTGAAATTTAAACTTTACTTAAAGGATTGAAATGATGTAAGGTTTGATATTAATTTGTTAACTCAAAGAGATTGACTAAGTGAAGGATTAGATATCCATAGAATAGATTGATAAATACATATATTTAGAAGTGTCTAGGATAGATTAATATTTTTGTTTAAAAATGAGATATCTTTCTATATAAGGGATTAAAGACAATTTAGAATACTAGGAATGTTCTTTTTAGAATGTTAGGTTTATTTCTATGAAAATTATTATGTAATGGAATGACAAAAATTGAAGAGATGTTTCAGATTTGAAGTGAACTAATAGTTAATTGAAATTTAATAAGATGATATGATTTTCTGATGATATGGATGTTATTAGTCATGATAATTAACTGGAGACTTGAATTTTGTTTAATGAAATGACATGATTTAAGGTATGATATTATTTTTTTTTAGCTTGAAGAGATAGATCAATTGATAGATTTCATAGGTACAGGATAGATTAATATTTTACTCTAAATAAGGGAGATTAATGAAAGAAGAAACAAATAAGATTTTGATAAAATTAAGAAAGTAGAATATATGTGGAAGGGATATTTGAACTGAAAATCTTTTTATTTAAAGTTAATTTGATTACGGTAGAAATTGATGAAGCTTGAAAACAAGTTCAGGTTGAATAAATTTAAGCTAGAATTGGATATTCTAAATCAGTGGTTCTCAACCTTTCTAATGCCGCGACCCCTTAATACAGTTCCTCATGTTGTGGTGACCCCCAACCATAAAATTATTTTCGTTGCTATTTCATAACTGTAATTTTGCTACTGTTATGAATCGCAATGTAAATATCTGATATGCAGGATGTATTTGCATTGAACATAATTAAAGCATAGTGATTAATCACAAAAACAATATGTAATAATATATTGTTAAATATTGTCAAAAATGAAATTTTGTCTTGAAGCATGGTGTAGCATGGGTAACAGTCTTAATATAACAACAGTAAACTACATTGCTACATTTTTCAACAGTATGCGTAAAAAGCCAATGTCAGTGCGAAGGTTGAGATTGCTTCTTTTTCACCAGATCAGAAATTCTTGGGGCAGTCTTTGCAAGAGCAAAACGAAGATCATCTTCCACAACAAGTCTACTTCTGTATTTAGACTTGATAACCAACAAACTGGAAAACCCTGTTTCACAAAGATACGTTGTTGGAAATGGAAGAAGGCGGCGCAACACAGTCTCAGACAGAACAGGATATGACTACAAACATTTGATCCAGAATTTTGTAACTGGCATTGTGGAGAAATCAGTTCTCGCTGCATCGCTGTTAATAAGTTCAATGAACTCCTCTTGTGCTGTCTCAGGAACATTTTCAACGTTGACTGTGAATGGGCTTCTGGCAAGTGCAAATGGGGTGTCAGGTAGATTTGGAAAGTATGATGAGGTTTCATCTGCAAGCATGCGCAGGTGTTCTTTAACAGAACGTATCATCGTAATCCTGTTGTCTGGTTCAATGTCATGTTCCTCAAAGAAATCAGATAAGGTAGGCAACATGTAAATTTTATTTTCATCCAATTTTTTTTTGCCAAAGCTGCAGTTTCATTTGGAATGATTAGATCTTTTCAGAGCTTCAAACTGCGGTCTTGCTTTCTGACTAAAAAACGTTTTGAGTTCATCACGAAGCTCAAAAACACGTTTTAAAACTTTTCCTTTCGACAACCATCTCACTTCAGTGTGAAATAGCAGAGCATTGTTTGGCGCATCCAACTCGTTGCACAGTTGTGAAAACAGTCGTGTGTTTAAACTGCTTGCCTTTACAAAGTTGACAGAATTTATGACGCTTTTCATTACTTCTCGTAACTCTTGTGGCAGCGTCTTTGTTGCTAATATTTGCCGATGAATCATACAGTGAGTTCCGATGACTTTTGGTGACTCATTCAGTACAAAACGTTGAAATCCAGATCTACATCCTAGCATAGCTGGAGCACCATCTGTGCAAACACCACAAACCTTTTCCCAAGATATCTTATGCTCTTTCAGAAATGAACCAACTGTGTCAAATACATCACGTGCAGTAGTTGTTGTTTCAAGAGGTTTGCAAAATAGAAACTCATCTTTAAAGTCGCCATCGTTAATATACCTCACGTAAACCAGTAATTGGAAACAGTTTGCAATGTCTGTAGATTCATCAAGCTGGATACTAAATATTGGAAGTGGAGCAGATTTAATTTCTTGGATTACCTGATCAAGAATATCAGCAGACATGTCATCTATTCTTCTGCGGACAGTGTCATTGGACAAGGAAACTGCACTCAATTTCATCACAAATTCGTCTCCGATCATAAGTCGAACAGTGTCTTTGGCCGCTGACAACAGTAACTCCTCAGCAATGGTGTGAGGTTTCATAGCTCTGGCGATTCTGAGTGCCACCACATATGAAGCTTCAACAGCTGCTACGTTTTGTTTGTGGTACTTGCCACCAGTGTCAAGTCTAGCTTTCTTGAGTCCATCAGCTTTGGTTCTAAAATAGTTGGTATACTTGCCAGCATAGCTCGGATGCTTGCTCTCAAAATGGCGTTTCAGTTTGTTCAGCTTCATCGATTCGGCTGATAGAACTTCGCAACAAATTACACATTGCGGTTTCTCGATTCCCGCTGTAAATATTCAGGTAAAACCATATTGTAAGAAATCCTCACTATATTTCCTTTTCCTGATGTTCTTCGGATCCATTGTCATTGAATGGTTTGCTAGCGAAAATATATAACAATAGCTTCAATAATACAAAACATGACACATGGCATAGTTCAGTCAAAACAGTTCATTAAAGTTTCCTATGATTTACCATTCTCTGTGTTGTTCTATTTACAAACCCAGTGTTTCTCAACCTTGACAATTTTATGGCATGTGGACTTCAACTCCCAGAACTTCACAGCCAGCAATCGCCAACTCCATGGGAGGAGTCTTACTCCTTTGGTGGAAAATCAACTCTACTATCCTGGGAAAGAAACCAGGCTCATGCAATTCAGATTTTTAGCCAGAGATCTGAGACCATGAGAAACCACAAGTCCATATTTACGTGGCCACATAACCGAGTATTCATCATGATTTGGGAGCCCAAGATGCACCACCCAACCTCAGGGAGTGTAGGCAGAATCTGCCCAATATTTGCTGAAATACATTGCACTCAGATTTCATTCTGGGAATGAAATATTAAAAAGGAAAAGAGCAGAAGAAATCAACTTTTATTCCCCATTTCCAAACCCTCTTCCTGGAAGTCATAACATGTAATTAAGCACTTCAACAAAGTAATTACTCCATTATTTGAGTAGGCAATCAATTAAGAAGTTGCACCATGTAAGGAAAGAAAAGAAAATTACACAAAAGAAAAGAAAAAGAAAAGGAAAGG